TCCGAGCTGGGCATGACTCATGGGTCATCTTGGAGCACCAATAGGGATCCTCCACGTGTCCAGGGTATTCTTTTCCCAAACACCTACAATACTGTATAGTATGTTGGTCACCTATTGCAGGTTTTTTTTTTATGAAATGTTTTTCTTGTTGTAAAAAATAACTTACAAACATACCATACGTATTGCATGTTGGCTATGTATAGCAGATTTTTTTTCTGAAAAAAAAACTGCAAGGCCAACCTGTATGGATATTGGGATTTATAAAAAAATAATAAAAATAACTCAGTTACCCATGTCATTTCTTGAAGAGACGACTCACTATTTTCATTATTCTTGAATATAGTTTTGTGGAAAATATATTGTTGAAAGTAGTTTAAGAAAAAAGAAACATTATTAAAAAAAAGTTCTATAAGATTTTTGTTAGATTGTTTTTTTGTTAAGTTTAATTTAAAGTTTGCTTTTTTAAAAAAATAATAAAATCTTGAAAGTGAAAATAGAAACGGTTACATTGTCAGGTTTTTTTGTGAAATGTTTTTTTTCTTGTAAGACATATTGCTTGTTGGTCATGTATAGCAGATTTTTTTTTTTACTTGTAAAAAAAATCTACAATATGTGGCCAACATGTAGGGATGATCATTTCTTCAAATTTTGGGATTTAGAAAAAAAAAATAAAAACTATTTATCCATGTCGTTTCTAAAGATGACCTACTATTTTCTTGACATTATTCTTGAATATTGTTTTGTGGATAATATATTGGTGAAAGTAGTTTTAGGGAAAAAAAACATTATTAAAAAAAAGTTCCTATATATTTGAGTATTAAGATTGTATGCAATCATGATGATATAGATTTTTTATTTTTTTAAAATTCATCTTTTTATAATCAATTTTTATTTTAAGATTTTGTTATATTTTAGAGTTAAATTTAATTTAAAATTTATTTTAAAAAAATAGATTTTTTAATAATTGATTTGTTTTAAGATTTTGTTAGGTTGTTTTAGTTAAAGTTTTATTCAAAGTTTGTTTTTAAAAAAAAATATTAAAATCTTGGAAGTGCCATGTATGGGTAAGGAGATTTAAAAATAAAAATAGTTACAATACCTATCGTAAGTATTGCATGTTGGCCACGTATTGCATGTCTTTTTTTTATTACAGGTCTGTTTTTCAAGAGACAACCTGCGATATACGTATTGCATGTTGGTCACGTATTGCAGTTTTTTTTTTTCCTTGTAAAAGGTTCTTTTCTTGTAAAAAAGAAACATGCAATATGTATTGCCTGTTGGACATATATTGCAGGTTTTTTTCCTCGTAAAAAAAAATCTGCAATACATAACCAACATGCAGATGGTCGTTTCCTCAAACATGTTGGGATTTAGAGAAAAAAAAAACAATTTATCATTTCTAGACATATTAATTATTTTCTAAACATCATTCTTGAAAATAGTTTTGTAGTTAATATATTGGTGAAAATAGTTTAAGAAAAAAACGTTATTAAATAAAATCTCATATATATGAATATTAAGATTGTATGCAATCGAATATTAAAAAAAAATTATTGTATGCAATCATAACCTATATATTTAATTGAAAAAAAATATACAAAATACATATGATTAGATTTATAAGATATGGTTGGAAACGTGTCCCATTGTAAATTGGATAAGATGGGACACTGAAAATTATAAAGACTGTGTCCCAAAAAAAAATCTAGTAGGCTTTCAAAACCCTTTAAAATAATACCATTTTTTTTTTATAAATAGATTTGTGGGACCCATTAACTATCTTTTTAAAATTATTAACTATTTTTTTTCCTGATCTTTGAGGAAAGTCAACTCAAGTTATTTTATTTTAGTTATTAGCGACGGCTCAACTAATAAAATAATTTTAAATTTAAATTTCCAGGTAAAGTTTAAGAACAAAATGGTTTTTTTTTTATCTTCAAAATTATGAATTAGTTTTTTTTTTATGTCACAAACTTATTTGGTAGAGTGGTTTTTTTAAATGATTTTGAAGGAAAAAAGGCTGTAATTGAAGTGTTTAGATTTATTTTTGCGTGTTTTCTTTCAGGTTTCAAATCTCATTTAATTTAATCTATGAATCTTTTTTTCGCATAAAATATGAGATAGAACAATCTATGATTAGAATAATTATATATGAAAAATAAATATTTTGAAACATAATTTATAAAATCATCAAATGCAGCTTGTTATATGTGTCTCAAAAAATTTTAAATATTATTTTCAAACATGTACAACATTCTTAAATTGTTCAATTTTCATGCATAATTTTATATCGTATATATTATTTTTCTCTTTTGAATTTATATAATTCAAAATTTTTATAATCCTTGAGATGTAATTTCTACCACAATCTCTATTTTTTTTTCTTTATTATGATAGGTTTTTTGGTACTTATTTATTTTGTGAAGGTTAAACATCAACCGTAACAGAATGAGTCTTTATTGTTATGTTTTTTTTATACAATTCACTTTTTATTATATCAAAATATTTATAAGATGTATGTATTTATTAAAAATAAGAGAAATAAAAAGTGTTCGATAAATGAGATTTATTTTATTATTTGAAATTATAATTAAATTAAATAATGATTTTTGTAATGATTAAAGTTTTAAAACTTGATCATATACAAGTTTAATTACTTTATATTTACTTCTCCCATGCCCACCACCATCATTTCCACCTTTTATGGAAAATAATTATTTACTACCTAAAATAATTGAACATAACACCATATGTATGTATGTTCGTTATTCATCAGAAACAAAGACACAATTTTTAAAATTTTCCAAAATTGTCAACTTAAACATAGCTTCAATAATTAAGATATTATCTCTGATCGAAAACGATCATGAGTTTGAATCGTCGCCCTACATGCTATACTTAAAAAATAAGTTAAAATTGAATGTGAACTAAGAAATGACGACAATCAAATCAAACAAGTTAAAATGTAGTAGTTTATTTTTTTTATTTTATAAGGACAACCATTGGTATTTAACTTTAATTTGAACACGGTAAAAAAAATTTTGGAAGAGATAAAGATTTTTCTTAATATAATAAAATGAGAGCCAGCTTGAGCATAGTTTAACTGTTCAAGACATCGATTTTCAATCAAAAGGACATGAGTTCGAATAAATCTCCCCTCCAAATGTTGTAATAAAAAAAAGGAATAAAATGAGAAATAATGTTTTATAAAAAAGAAATCATTGAATATAATTAGTGCTTTATTACATCCATTATGTATTTGATAGTACTTTATTTATTCAATTGTGTAGTGATTATTTCTTTGTTTCAAAAAATAAAAAATAAAAGAGTGTAGTGATTTTTCTTTTATAAAAAAGTTAAAAGAAAATTATAAATTGGGAGGCAGAGTTGATGGAAGGAAGAATTTCAACATAGGAATCAATGCAACCTTTACTTTTTTGAAGGCAGAGAATCTGTGTCTTTGAGTGGAATTTACACTCAGAATTTCTCTCAAGGAATAAATTCCTTAAAAAAATAATTCATAAATAATTACGATTTAAAATATACTTGTTTAAAGCGTTTCAGTTTAAACGTTTCTAATCTGACTTCTATCAATTACTATTGAGTTATGCTTACGTTGGCACACATAATTACGTCCATCATTTGCAATAAAAAAAAATCATAACTTGTATTTTAAACAAGGATAAAATACACTGTTGGTTCATGAAATTTAGATTTAGTGAGTTTAATAAATCATCATTTTTGCTTTTGAGATTCAATTTAGTTTTAATTAATGCTTGAAATTTCAGATGTGACGTGTTTTAATTGAGTTTTTAATTAGTTTATGAGGTTTGAATTTAGTTTCTAATGGGTCATTGAGTTGAATTAACCGTTAATCGACCTGATGAGATAACGACGTAGTAGCTAACATATGTTTGACTAGACTTTGGCGATATGCAATTTTTAAATGAGCAGAAAATTTTTATTATTCTTTATTCTCTTTTGCCTTAGTGACATTTTTCTCGACATCCAATCAAATTTTCCTATTCATTCATCTTTTGTTTAACATTTAAATTGACTAAGTTCTAATTTATACTGTGAATCAACAAGTTTCTCGACAGCCAATCAAATTTTCAACGCTCGTATTAAATCATTTATGCAATCTCTCATTGTCTAGTCAACATATATTAACTGCCACACCATCGTTTTGTTAAGTTGACTACCAGTCAACTCAACTCAATAACCAATTAGAAAACAAACTTAAACCTTAATCATGGACTAAATGTGTCACATTTGAAACTTAAGAACAAAATAAAAACTAAAAAGTATATTTTACCATCTAAACAATATATATTGAGTTTGATATCGAATTAAGTAAAACTACATATGAGAAAAATTTTGAAAATCAAAAGAAAGATTTTAAACCAGCAAAAAGATAAATAAGAAAGTTGAAGAACCAAAATTGGATTCAAATCAATATACCTATTATTGTAAAATAGTTCACCTTCGCATTCATTAATTATTTTGTTTGGAGTTTGTAGATTTAAGCTTCATAATATGATGTAATAGAAATCAACAATGGCCAACATGAGTTTAGCTCAACGGTAATTAGCATATCGATCTCCGTAATTTATAAACATATTTAATCTCTCATCGGTTTATATATATGAGAAATTTCATAAAAATTTTCACGATAGAAACTAAATCGTTACAAACTTTAAATTACAAGAACAAAATTTTTAAATTTTTACATGGTTCAATGATTAAATTGTTACTAATTTGAAAGTACTAAGATTACACAGTTACAMTAAAGTTAGAAAGACTAAATTTTTACTTCAATAAAAAATATTAGGAACCCAAAGTATTTTTTAACTTTTATATATAAAAAAGCTAAAACGAGCCTAGCTTGGCGGTAAATGGTATATACCTCGAAACTTTTATATATAAAAAGGATGATAATAAAGACGTTAATATTTATACCCATTGTCACAAAAATTTCCAACAATTCTAGAAAATGAAGGGCAGGGCAGACCAAGTTAAGACAGAATGAGCAGACAAGAAATAACTTAACATAGACCTTGTAAACTACAAGCAATCCATGTACCTAAAAAACATGTGAAAGTTGTGTTCTAAACAAGCATAGAAGAAACAACACCCAACAAGATGAATACGAACATCTGCGTAGATGCTAATAAACATAAGGCAGTATTCTCCAAGGGACGAGTTTGGTATACTCTGCCCAAACGTCTTTATATTTCTCAGCACAACGAGCTTCGTCTCGTCTCTCTCTCCATATTAGCAGAATGAGGAGATACATAGGATAAAAGTATGGCATTGGGGAGCTGCAAAAATGAAAGGGAGATTTATCTTCATGGGTTTGGTATTCTTTCTTCCTTTTTTGTTTGGTTGGTAAAAATTAAAATACATTTTTTGGTTTCTAGTCGTTCTAAATGGTCCTTCAACTTAATTGATCGTTAGTCAACTAATAGAAATATGACGTGAACATCATTTGTTGATTGGGCTATGATTACGTGGCAAAATATATTAGTTTTATATTTTTTTTTTTTGTTGTCATGTGACGTGGGAAATGAAGTTGCATCTCCTTCCCTCTCCTCCCTCATACTTCTTCTCCGGTGAACTACCGCCACCGTGTCTCCGCACCCTCATAGCTCCTCTCTCCTTCTCCGACAAACCACTTTCTGTCGCCGTTGCCCCATCTAGAATGAAGTGGAACAAGACCCTCATTACGAGGAGTTTCGTTCCAGATCTGGAACGAAGATTTCTCGTTAATGAGGGAGGGTGGTCAAAGTGGAGATGGGACGGCGGTTGAAAGATACAGCAATGGCTATGGCGGTTTTTTGGAGAAAGAGAGGAAGTACGAGGGAGAAAGGAGGAGAGGGAAGAAGGGGAAGTGGGGAGGAAGAAGATGCCACATCATTTGCGACATCATAAGATAGTAAAGAACAACAATATAAAATTAATATATTTTGCCACATAACCATAGCCACGCCATTTTTCTCTTAGCTGAGCAATGGTCAATTAACTTTTAGGATCATTTAGAACCATTTTTAAAATCTCATAGATTAAAAGTATCCGTTTTGAAACATCAGGACTAAATATACACTAAATTCAAACGAAAGTATATTTTGCAATTTTTGTTTCGTTCCCTCTCTTATTGAGAAAGAGAAACCACAGAATTACCTTATCCCACATGGTAAGCTGAAAGAAAGTGCAAGCAACAAGTCTCCAAGGTAATTACAGTGCCGCGCAATTCCCCTGTTCGAGAATAAGTATATATAAGAAAATAAGAAACAATACCCATGGTTCCAAATTTATAATACCTATTCCGATTTCAGACAATAAACAACATCAAAAGATTTCTAATTCCGATTCCATAAAATTTATAGTAAACAACGTTAAAGGAATAACATTTTCAATTCGATTAATTTCGTTCCGATTCCTTGTAAGTAAAAATAATGGGGTCTTCATAACATCTCCATTTCTCAATTCTCATTTATTGTTTCTAGACTTTTCGTTTCTCATGTCTAATAAATGTTTCTAAAATTGTATATAAATTTTGAATATTTTATTTCAAGAAACTGTTTTTCAAGAATTTTTTTTAATTTTTTTAATTTTAAAATATGAAATAACAACAAATTCTTACCAGACACATTCTTCTTTCTTTCTTAGAAAATAGAATCAGGAAACAAAAAAGTGGGAACAAATAACCCAAAACAAACTATCAGAAAATTTCCATCCCCTCTCCTGAAGAGTCTATTAAGGACAGAAGTTGATCATCCAAATAATTTCTTGGTTTTCTTTTAGTTTTTAGAAGAAATATATGTGGAAGTTATGCCTATGATGACAAGTAAATCAAAGAGATGAAAATCTTACCAATAACCAGAAACAAGCAACTTCCCTCCGACAACTTTCGGAGGCCTACCCCATATAAGCGCTTTGTTGTTCTTTTTAAACATGTGTTTCTGCTTGTTAGATCCTCTAAACACAGCATATCTGCCCAAAATAGTACACAAAAAGCGTTTAGCAAACCTTCATGACGAGAAAAAGAGTGTCATAAGCCACGTCATGGTACCTACCCCATTATAAAGACTAAACAGTTAGCTATGGTAGCAGCTGTCGTTAACTCTGCCTTGTTTGTCAAAAGCCACCAACCCTATAAAACAAACACAGACAGTCTTTTCCAGAAAACAAGTCTTACAAAGTTTAGGTATATTAGTGGATTTTCAGGTATGCATCGACAAAAACTTCCCTGAATATGAACACAATGTTATTATCCTTACAATATACATATAGAACTTGCATATAGAAAAAGAAAATATATATATATATATATATATATATATATATATATATATTTGACATGAAACAGTGCTTGAGTTAAGCTCTAAAAGATAAATTTAAGGATGAAAACAAAAACAAGATCTTTCAGAATTTTTGAAGTCTTTTGAGTAAATTATGAAAGATAAAGGAGGTCTTTGTGGGAAGCTCTTGAGTATTCTTTTTGGTTGTGCTTTCATGGGGTTTTTAACATTAAAAAAGTTTTGTGAGGAAGAAGATCAATTTGCAAGTTCTTTCTAGTGGGGATGTTTTCTTGTATTTTACGGTTTTTACCTAGTGTTCTTATAGTTTTTTTTCCTTGTTTTCTTTATGTACGAAGTGACTTTGTACATTCCTAAAAGAATTTTTTCACTTGGTAACTTTTCACCTTTTAATGAAGATCGAGTGCATGCACATGATTATAGGTGTGTTCGGCATGCCTTTTAAAGTGTTTTTAGAGAAACCATTTGCACAATTTTCTTCCAGAAGTCTTAGAAAAAGAGCATCACACTTTCTCAAAAGACATCCCACAAATCAAGTGGCAGTAGAAAAAAATTGGTAAACTACTTCATCATTACCTGAATACTAAATGTAAAAGGAATCCAAACAAGATCTCCAAATACCAGCATGAAGCCTAATCTCTCAGCAATTATGTCCCATCTACAAAAGACAAACCATTCCCCAATATTCAGTCTGATTGCACATAATCACAAGTGTAACGAAGTGAGTGTGTGCTTAAAAGGTATAATGAGCACAATTCGTATGAAGACAATAAATAAGAATTCGTGATGCCACAAAATCGAATGAAGACTATTTTCGATATTCAAGCAGAGGTTTTATTCGTAGCATAACAGAGACCAGTCGTTTGAAATGAAACATAGAAGAAGAGTGATAAAAATAAAACACATTTTTCATACGATGTATTCCAGCTTTTGGTTAGTGCGAGTTTGAGGAGAATTTTAAAAATAGTGCTTTTAAGTGAGAAGTATTTCTTCAACTTCAATAAGCATTTTTTGAATAAGTACTAATTAAGTGTTTCTCCTAGTACTTTAAATATTTTTACAATTTTTAAAATCACTTTTCATCATTTAACCAAACACCATAAATTTTTGTTAACCTTTTAATGGGTTAAAGTCACATTTTACTCTTTCAAAAATTATTGTAAACTTTTCCTTAGTTGAAGAGCATAATCAAATTCTGATAGGAATGTCTTTTGGGATAATTGGGTTTATTGATAGAATAGTAAGGAAATATTAGTAATTAGTTAAGGAATTGGTTAGTAGAGATTTGTTATAAATAGAGTGATGGGAGAAAGGATGAAGGTAGACAATTGTTTAGTGTGGTTTAAGCTTGAGTAAGAATACTCAAGGGAGGGGAGCGTCCAAGTACCTTTAAGGCTTTAATTACTTAGACAACTTTTGTAGTCCTTCTATCCTTTAATCTTTCAATATATTTTAGCTATTTGGTTTCTATTAGATTCATCACTGTCTCCAAGTAACCAATTAGGGTAAACAAAATTTTAGAAGCCAGATAATATGGATAAGATTTAGAGTCTCCAAACACCTCAAACAGAGAATTATTATAATAACAATAAGCACAACTAGGATTAGACAAGAAATGGTAGTCTAAGATAGCAACATATAAGCTTCAGCTCTTAGATTGCTAGAACATTTTTACAGATGCCATCCAATTTTTTTGACATGAAACTTCACCACTTAAAGCTACTTGCTACACTGCAAAGAAACTGAGGTAAGAAGCATTTCAAATATATTGCGAGTCAAGAAGGATCTGAAAGCACACTTACGTGGAGGTCATGTACTCCTCGTGAACGAAATAGTCCAAGACATATAACTGAATACCATTTTAGACCAAACGCCCAATTATTAGAGGCCACCAAAATAAACATACAAAAAATGAAGGAATACTTTGGACGATCAGTTTACCGCACAAAATGTCTGGTAGAGGATCATGGATTGGCTCAAGGTGGTGTTTAAAACACTTCTTGCAAGAACTGATAGGTTAATCAGTAGCCAGCCCATCATTCCAGCTCTAACAAAGAAAAATCTACATGAAGAATTTCAGCATTCTTGTTAACATAGACAATAATACCACCAAAGTGAAACTAAACAAAAACTTGTATGAGTATTAAACTAATGACGTTATTCATGCATGGCACACCGAAAAAGTTAGAAAAAGTTGCATACTTGAGGTCAATGCCCAAAAAGTGAGGATTCAACTGTATACCAAACCACCTATTAAGCAAGCAGCATAAGACGGCGATATTAAGATAAGTGGTCAAATCAAATTTCTAGAACTTAGCAAACAAAAATTTAACACTTAATTTTTGGAAGATAATAAACAAATTTGAGGATATATCCAAATTAAACCATACTGATTTACAAAAATAAAAGCAAAATTTTCTGGGATAGGAGATTGAAATAAAGAATATAAAGATGAATGATCGTCCTTTCTCACAGATCTCTCAAGGTACTTACATTCTAGTTGTAAACTACCTTAACTAGTAACCTTTCTGAAACTCAAATAGTCTTTCACAACCAACGATAGAACTAGAAAGCTCTGTGATATATAATCATGCAACACTAACAGGCATTTAGCTAAGAAACAAGCTGAAAGTCCTAAAGTCGTACATGGTATGCCTCGGTAATTTAATTCTAGCTATTACATTTAATAGATTACTCAATAGAATAGAGAAGTAAAATTTGGTGTTCATATATGTTATGGCAATATGTACAATAACTGAAGAAATTCATATTTCTCTCCATCTCTTTTTAGAAGGGTAATATATAAAGATTCTTAAAACCAATCTTTCTTTTACATCTATAATGTGGAAATGACAACGTTAATGAGAAGAAAAATAAAACCAATTATATGCAAGGAATTGATTTCTTAACATTATGCACTTGATTCCTTACTTGATTTAAACATCTCAGCTGAGCAAACAAACCACAAAATGAGATTCAATTACATTAAACATATATAGAAAAATGATCTAAAATTGAAAAAGTACCAATCATGAATAAGATTTCCTGTGATACGAGGCTTTAGAGAAGAACTTTCACTACTTGAACTGTATCCAGCAACACAGAGTAACAATGTCGCCTGAAAGTGAGAAATTAAGTAGAGTTTAAAAAGGGGAGTTAAAAATGAAAAGTAGTTGATAATAGAAGATCAGAAGACTCAAAGACCAAACTTGACAAACAATGGAAAGGACATGTTAATAAGAATGTTCTCTTAGTAAAAGAATGATGGTATTGGTATTGCATGTTACTGATAATTGAGTAACATCAATTTTTTACATGATGGTTCGGGATTTGGGGACATAGAAACAAGTCTATCGATGGCCATCATAGGAAATCTTCCAAGGAACAGTTACAAGCCAACTGAATCTCAAAATTAACTCCACTTGTAACATATAGAAGGTCCTCTCAGAATTAAAATGGAAACCTTAAGAAACCACTTAGCATATTGAGGTACAGAACTAGTTACTTCGTGTTGATAGGGAAGCTTGTCAACACGATAAAAATAACCACCTGATAGTCAGTGGTCAATGTCTATCGTATAAAGAGAATGAGAGGGGTGGGAAATGATCAGCAAGTACATACGAAGATTATTGCATTGGGGCCCATGTGGCTTTTATGATGTAGACTTCAGTAAATACGAGAGGAATAATTTAAGTGCATCGCTTAGGCTTAGAGGGTTTTTTTTTTCTTTCTTTTATTTGTTAGATATACTTTTGGCTTAGTAGAAATTAGAGCTCTCGGAATCTCTCTTGGCTTGTACCTCTCTATTATCGAAGAATTATTCTCTATCCACCCACAGGGCCACACCATTTAAATCTCAAAAGGAAAGAGGTAAGAGTAAAACGTCAACAGGGATGTTGGCAGGATATCAAAAGACCACATCTACTGGAGAAAGATATCAGTAAATATCATAGTTCAAACAAAAATATGTTCAACAGGACAAAAGTTAGCTCTGTAGCAAATAGTTCAGATGTTTAACTCCCATACCAGGAAACTAAACCAGAAAGTTGCTGATAGCAGCTCCAGTCCTCTATCTGATATTGCCTGCATATAAGTTGTACTAACACACTAATCATCCCAGAACAGTCATCTCAGCAGGAAAGGCACGTATCAAAGTATCTTCTGTCCAATTGATATCAATAATTTATGTGTTGTGAATCAAATTAATATTCAAGCATAAATAACCTATCAGTTTAAGCTAAACATTGTTTTGAGTTTTGTGGTGATTTAAGAATAATTTTTCCGTGAAAGAAAGAAATGTGGAGCCAAACATGTAGAATGATCAATACACGATGAGAAGCAGTGAAACACTTACAGTGGGAGAAATGTAATTCGTTTGAACACCAATCCCAAGAAGGGCGACGAGCACCAAAAGAGAGAGTAGACCTGTAGCAGCAACAAAAAAAAAAAAAAAGACAAGAGGGAGATTCAAATTTCAAAACTCGCCATGGAATTAAACTCTCAGTGATATCAAACTTCATAAACTGCATTGATTTACGTATGAGATAACAGAACCATTGCAGCGATATTGAAGCCTGGTGCGGTCAGGCAAAATCACTCCAGGGATTATTCTTCCCGGCAAAATAGATCCAGCAATCGCCAAGTAAGAAAAGAAGATCAAGAGAATAGCAACCTGATTGCCCAATAACAAATAACAGGAGAATCTCAAACACAGTGAAGTGGAGAAAACATGGTTATAATGGATAGCGGATTCACAGCAAGAGAATCAACACTTACAGCTTCCCAAGAGGGAATTGATGCTTGAAGAAGAAAACCCAGATCCATTTTTCTGAAGAATTGATTCTTCCTCCACCAGATTAACTGGGATTATCTCGCCCGGCTGGAAAGTGACAATTTGCTGTGTTGGGTCTTTGAAAAATGGAGTTGGTGTCTGCTGGAGATTGTCTAATTTGAAGTGTCCGCGGCCTTTCGCTCGAGCCCCGAGTGTGTGTGTCCCTTCTCCTAAATCCACGGTCGCTGGCTCTGGCTGAGCTGCTGAATTTTTAAATTGTCGATCAGCCGGCGGGGACTGCTGGCTGGCTTTCGCTATCTCTTTGGCATTTCTCAAGCTCCTAATACTGAATTCGATATCAATTCTGTACAGTTCGATATATGTCAATTATTATCGAGTTAATCATCATTTGACGTTAAAATTATAATACCCGCCCAATTAAAATAGAGTAGTTATATATTTTGAAAATAATTATGGTTGATGTTTGATTTTTTTTATGTTGTGAACCTTGTTACGTAATTAATTAAATATCTTAATTCAATGAAGTTACTAATTATCTAATTAATTAATATATGTTTGAATTAGCTGTTAATGTAAGTACCACCATTTTTATTTTAGTACAACAAATACAAGATAAAAGATTAAATCTTCGTTCAAAGATTGAGTCCGATTCTTTAAGGGTGGCGTTAAGAAGTCTCTTACCTAGCGCTTGTTTCAATATACAAATTTCATCAAGCAAGAAGGATACAGTACAGTTCATATTTTGGCAAAAATAACGTTGGACTTTCATGAGAGTCGTATTTGACTTGACCCTTAATCATGATCTCTAGGATGCTGAAGATTTGAATGTTTTTTCTTTATCTAAATAAGATATTCCGACCGAAGTTGAAGGAGTAAAGTATTTTAACCAGTTACATAGTTTTACTAAATGAATCAAATAAAATTAAAGTGATATAATGACACTTCACATAATTGTGTGAGTTATTCAATTTTTTTCCCCTCGAGCGAGTTAAAGATCATCAAGTTTCTGTCAATTATCATATTTATTGTATTTAAACACTATTTAAAACCCTCGTTGATTTCCAAAAAACAAATAAACTATTTTTATTTTATTTTATACTTTCTTTATTGTCGGCGCTTATTATTATTGTTTTTTTAAATGATTCAACTAAATAAAATGTTCACATTACTTGCTAGGTTCGTGGTTACTTTTTTTAAAGCCATCGTATTATTATTTTATTGCTATTGATTAATTTACTACTCCAAAACACAAATTTTAAATGGCACGTGTATAATTCCTTATTGTTAGAATTTGATTTTAATTTTGTTTGCATACTTTTAAAAATGTACTGTCTTCTCTTAAATATTTCAAAATGTTAGTATGATGTGACAATTTTCTTACTGGACATCGAGGAAAATGTGCGCCTGTGTTCTAAGTTGGTTAAAAAGGTGATATGTTTTTCATGTTAAGTGAATTTTCTCTCTCTTGCACATCCTCAAAAGTTACTATACTTATGTGATGTGGCAAGAAATTAGAGAGCAAGAGTTGCCCGAAGTATAATACATCGTGACAAGGAGTCCAACCTATAATTCTTTCTGAGTGTTGACCTAAGTTGAAAGATGAGCTTGGTATAACACAATCGCTCCTTAACTCTTAACTTGCCACTAACGCTGAATTTATGTCGATATTCACACGATGTGCTAAGTGGGCAATAAGTGGGACCCACTCAAAAAATATATAAATATGAAGGTAAAGTTCCTGACAAATCTGATTGTTTGCTTCATATTGAGACTAACTTTAACTTTAGAGTATCTTATTTTTGTTTTGCTCGTTATTTTTGTATTTATGACAACACCCAACTTGTAGAACAATCAGCTGAAACATCCACAATTCCAAAAAAGCTAGTATTTTGTTTTTTTTTTTAACAATCTCTCTCATCCTATCCTAAATCTACGCGATTTCATTTGTTATCAAACCTCAAACTACAGTAATAATGGCCCAATTCATCATATATTTTTGCTAGACTTTCTTTTTAAGAAGCACTTTATTGCAATTTCTACATATTCATTATCAATTAAAATTTCAGAAATCTATTAGATAATTTTTTATATTTTATTGGTCATGAAATCTAAAGAACAAGAACTATTAAACATATTTAAATTTTTTAAAGATTAAACATAACTGTAATAAAAAAAAGAAAAAGAGAAAGAAAAAGAAAAACAATATAATTTTTATTTTTATTTTTTTCTAGTCCAACTCAGCAAGTTTTAGAAGACTGCGGTGTTACGCGCATCACTTGATCGCAATTTCCACAGAACTTCACTCTTCACGGCGCTCCCCATTTCATCTCATCATTGCCTCGATAAGGAAAAAAAAGAAAAAGAAAAAAGCAATCGAAATTAAATTTCGCAGAGAAAAAGAAAGGGAAATCGGAAGCAAAAACCCTACCCACGACTTCCCAGTGATCTCTGGTTCTCTCCAATGGAGTTTTGGGGTGATTTTCTCTCTTCCCTTTCCTCCTCTGCTTGTTTTGTTTACTTACTGCTTCTTCTTTATCGGCTTCTGTCACATCTTCCGTATCTTTTTGTTACTCCCTGTTTTCCACTCTCCGTTGGGTGAAGAAGATATGAGACTGGCAGAGAAAGGGATGTTTGATAAGTGGTTTACGTGTTCCTACTGTAGAAATGGTTTAGGGAATTGACTTTTGCTATCTGTTTATGCACTGGGATTTTGCTGTGTGTTGTTGCAAAGGAAATCATAGGAACAAGTTCAATTTGAACTGATATTTATGTTTTAAAGAATCCGTCCCAGTTTCGTTTTTATGTATATGTGATGTGAATTTGAACCTTACAATTCCGAAAGTAGAAGGTTATACTATAAATGAGTGAAGTCGTCATGTCCCGACTGCTCGAATGTTTGTAGACTCTCTTCTCTTTGTAGTGAGGTGATTATGGACGCTGTTGTTTGAACTTTAAAGTGCATTGTTAATTTACCTGTGTTCTGTTTGACAAGATAGGAACACTAAATCCGCAGCCTTATGTTTTTTCTTGTGCTGGTTATTTACTCCTGTTGTTCATGGACGGTTATTTTAGTAATGCCACTAGTTTCAACTATCTAAGGAATTCCTACTAAATCATAATGCGTAAAAGTTCTTTTAGTTTTAACGAATCATTTACGAAAAACTATATTGTTGGAGATGAGAGCTTGAAACAACAATTTCTGCTGGAAATGAAGAGGGGTTTGACTGCCATGTGTCCAGTATTTCTTGGTGAATATGCTGGTGTAATGGTGTTACTACATGTTCTCTTGCATGTCAATGTACCTAATCGAAGCACATTGTTATATGCATATAGAGTAATGTGCTGGCACTACGTTTCCTTATGACCTAGTGGTATCGACATGTTATGCAGGTGCTGAGGTTAAAGTTGGGGAACCTCTCTTGGTGAGTCCTGGGGAGGAGAAGATATTGCATCTGTCTCAGGTATCATCTGTGGGTTAGTTTGTTGGTCTGTTCATAAGAAACATGTAGGCAGTCATTGAGTTACATGTTTTCCACAGGCCTGCCTTGGAGAGTCCAGGGGCAAAGGAAGTGAACCCGTTTTCCTATATGTCAAGGTTGGCAATCAAAAGCTTGTTCTGGGGACACTCTCCTCAGAGAAATTCCCACAAGTGTCCTTCGATCTAGTGTTCGACAAAGAATTTGAGCTATCCCATAATTGGAAAAATGGAAGTGTCTACTTTACGGGATATACATCTCTTCTTCCAGAAGAATATCCTTTCTCCGAATTCTTTGTTGTCTAAGTTTTTATGTTATTTTTCTCTTAAATTCATCTTCATATTATTTAGTTTAATTGCTATATTTGCATTTTCTCGTGTTGTTTCCTTGACTAGTTTGAGTTTTTTTCATCGCCACGGAAGAATCTTCTTGTAAGTTATTGATCAAAACATTGTGAGATTGGTATTATCTTTTAATTTCATTAAAACCAATGAATTAGTTGACCGGTTTGATGCTATTTTTCAAATTCAGATACTGATTCTGAAGAGGATATTCCAGTAGCTGCCGTTGACAATGGTAATGTTTACTCTCTTGTGCATTTGCCATTTTAATTTAGCAACATTAACATAGGCTACAACTGTTTGGTGCAGGAAAGCCTGAGGCACAGCCTAAGAAGGATGCAAAGCCTGATGCTTCTGGAAGTAAGCGAAAGGTGCAGATTGTAGAACCAAACAAAAGTGGCTCTAATTCAATTATTGACAGTAAGAAAAATGATGATACTTCTGACGAAGATGATGATGAGGATGAAGATAGCTTGGACGATGAGGTACTCTTATATGTCATTATGCAGGCTACATACATCTACATGATCTTTTCTTTGCTGAAATATCCTTTTTCGCTGCATTAATTGGGTAAGTGCATTGATGTTTTCAAATTCAAAAAAAGAAAAAAAAAAGAAAAGAAAGAAAGAGAAGAAGAAGATGACACACAGCTCTTGTAAAATATGGAGCAAGAACTTAATTATATTAGCTTTTCTCATTTTCATTCCATGTGAAGCTAGATGCCTGTTCCGTGGTGATACACTTACGATTTCTGATTGAAAGAATTTTGGCTATTCTAATTCGTTTTCTTCTTTGGTTAATGTTAATCCACACCACTTCAATTTAGCCAGTGTTTGTCTGCCTAATCAAGTGTGGTAATTCAACATTTTTCAATCTTTGTTCTGAACAATGATCATAACTCCAGGAGCATAATTTCTTTCCGAGCTACTACTTGATATTTGCTCTGATGTAGGCCATATAAGGAAGTTAGTATCTTAGAATCTACTTTACTAATATGGCCATTGAGTTTTAACTTTTATTACCATCTGTCTTGGTTTTCTTTAGAATGCGAATGGAGGCGAAGAAGATGACACTGACGATGATGAAAATGAGTTTTCTGGGGATGACAGCGACAAAACTGATAATGAGGAATCGGATGACAGCTTGGCAGAGGATGAGCAAACACCGAAAAAGGTACTGGGCTGCCATCTTTCTCTCATCGTTAGAGAAACTTGATTGCATTGAGCTGGAAGTTCTTTTCTTTTATTTGCCATTTTTTAATGAAATAATTGTTGACACCATTGAAGGCTGAGGCAAGCAAGAAGAGACCTCTAGAGTCTGCTAATAAGACACCTGCAGCTGATAAGAAGGCGAAACTCGTTACTCCTCAAAAAACTGGTTGGTTTCTTCTGTCTTTTATGAGAACCTGATTTACTTTCAGATTTTTAGCCTTTATATTAGCCATCATGGTGTGGCCTAGTGGTCAATAAGGGCCAATGTAAATAGTAAAGGGCTTAAAGAGAATGGGTTCAAACCATGATAGTCACCTACCTAGGATTTAGTATCCTACGAGTTACCTTGACATCAAAACGTAGTAAAGTTAGGTTGTTGTCTCGTGAGATTAGTTGAGGTGCGTGAAAGTTGGCTTGGACACTCATGAATATCAAAAAAAAAATTAGCCCTTTATATTGCTGGGTGAAGTCACCAGGATTCTGACAGGTTTCTTCTTACTGATTAATTTGTTCAAGAAAACTACAACTATCAAATTACTGACCAATTCAAGAGGGTCATCTATCTCTCCATGCTACTTCTCAGTCTTTACACATAAAAACAACACTTTGAAATCACAACAAACAACATAAAAAAAAAAAAAGAAAAGGAAAGAAAGAAAGACAAACAGGGATAAACAAAACTAAGGAAGTTAGGGAACTAACTAAAACCCCCCAATATTTCCTAATTTTCCCTTTCTGAAATAAACCTTCAAGACTGGAGGATTAGAAGTTTTTGTTTAAATTAAGCAGTTTTAGTTAGTTTCATGGGTTTGAATGTTATTAAAGTAAGCTGTAAGCTGTAAGTTGGAACTTAGTCAGTTATGTTTATCTACTTTTTTATTTTTTTTTTATGTTGTGTTTTGAACATTTTTGGACTTGTCAAAAAGTCCAATGTTTACTAAAGTATAAATCATTTCATTATGAATGATCATATATCTAATAGAAAATCATGTTATATCGTAGCATGACCAACACTAAAAACTACTTTCAACATAGTATAATGACCACTTCAGAAGGTTTTTTTTTTTAATGTATGAAAGTGAAAAATAGTGTGGAGAGATAGATGCCCTCTCGAATGGGTCATTAGCTTATTGCAACCTAAGTAAAGAGATACCTATCTAATTGCAGTTCCATTAGTGTTTACTACCATCCACCCATAGAGGCAGACTTTGGGGTGAAATTCAAATCCTTGAACTGTTGAACAAATTACTAAGATGGCTTTTTTATTTTTGGTCACAGATGGCAAGAAAGTTGTAGGTCATGTAGCTACTCCTCATCCTTCAAAGCAGGCTGGGAAAACACCTGCTGCTAATGACCAAAATAAGCAGCAGACTCCCAAATCAGCTGGTGGCGCATTCCCTTGCAAATCCTGCAAGAGGTATGTATCTCTGTAATTGCCTTGGGAAATCAAATTGATCACAATTTCTTTACTATTTATGTGCGCCATGTTTTCACTTTCTTCAAAACATTTGAATTCTTAACTAATTTTTAAAAAGTAGATAGAAAAACAGAGAAAAAACCAAAATGGGTATGAAAAGGATCCTTAGTTTTTTATTTTCTATTTTAGAAAAATTATGCCTCCATTTGAATTCTTAATCAAATTTCAAATGCAAAATCACATTTTAAAATTTGGTTTAGATTTTGAGTGTGTTTTTAAAAAGTAGATAACAAAACAAAGAAACAAGTCAAAATAGTTATGATTCGGGATCTAAATTTTCTTTAATTTAATTGTGGGAACACACTTTCATTGAAGGGCATTCGGGTCAGAAGGTGCTTTACAATCCCACACAAAGGCTAAGCACAGTGCTGAGAAGTGAGTGAGCATGATAAATATTTTGAACTGTGTTGGTTTCTCTAATGTGGGATTAACATAGTTTGAATTAGGCTCCATCTGATCAGAGTTATGATACTGGATGGTTGTGAATTTTCTACCCCGACCCCTTTTGATGATGTTTCATTTTCTAAGTGTTCTGGTGTGACTTCAAATCTTATTATTATTATTCTTATTATTATAAGCTTTTAGTGTATAGACACTGGTATTCCTAATGATGGTTCCTCTTAGACATCGCATGTGCTTGTATCGACCCGTGCCAGTGCCAGTAGAATATTTTTTAACAATTATTTAGCTTGACTTTGGCTTATTATTGATGTTTTATTCGTCTTTTTTTTGGTGGTAAAATTCATCTTTCATTTCGAATTAGAATTATTAGTTCGGAGTGAATTAAATCTTCTCGGGTAGGATTTGACTAATGACCAGATGTTAATGGTTGTCTGCTTTACCTCTAAGCTATTGAGGAACAAAGAGAAGTCTTGTAGGAGTTGTTTGGAAATGTTCATATTTTTTGTTTTCGATTTTCGATTTTTGAGAAATATAAGTGTTCGGTGATTGTTCTTGCTTTTTATTTTTAAAAAATGAGGAACATTTTCAAAAAGTGTATTAATTTTATAAATAATAAAATTAAGTTTCTTGATTCTTGTTTGGTTTTTCATGCATAATAAATATTAAAAATAAATGACATACAAAATTTGAATATTTAACTTATAAAATAAATTTCTATATAAAATTTTTACTTTATAAATTTAAAATTATGGAGAACAAGAAATGTTCACCAAATCAGGGTATTGAATTTTTGTGGTGATGTTGGATTTGATACAAAGAAAAATCGACATTTATAGTATTGAAAAAAATTGGCAAAACATAAAAAGTATCAACAAAATATGGTTAAAAGACACATTTCCTCCTTTATTTTTTTATAAAGTAATGATTTAGTCCCCATATTTTTATATGGGTAGCAACTAAAAATTTTAATATGTAATAATTTAGTCTTTATAGTTTAAAATTTTTAACAATTTAGTATCTACTACAAAAAATTCTTATCAAAATTAAGTGTAATTTTTTTTTATTATATGATGATTTAATTTATAAATAAATTTGATCATTCATCGGTTATATATATATATATATATATATATAAAAGGAATTTAACAAAAAAATTTATACGGAGATTAAATTGTTACAAATTTTAAATTTAAAGGACTAAAATGTTACATTATAAATTTCAGAAACTAAATTGTTAATGGATTAAATCGTTACTTTTGGGTTTTGAAAGTTTATGAACTAAATCATCACTCCAATTAAAGTACAGGGACCAAATATGTAATTTAACCATAAAATATCACTTGAAAATAATATTAATATTAATAATTTGTAACTTAAAAATTGTGGAATATTTACCTGATAATTTAATTATTTGTTATTAACTTTTTATTTTTTTTATATATATCTATAGACATTTTATCAATATTTTCATGATATTTCTATAAAATTGAGATCTTAACATTTTCACCGAACAATAATATTACCATATAGACTCGTAAAATTAAATTTTTACTTTTAACCTAGGATTGATATGAGCTTGAAGTTTCCTACCCAACTCTTTGAAGGTTCTCAAAATTTCTCAAAACCTCTCTAGTAGCTCCATCCCAAGCCTCATTCATTATCCAGTGGTTTATTTTTATTCATTTAAAACATTTTTTCCCAAAAAAAAAAAAACAAAACTATAACATCAACCTTATCCAGTGTATTAACTAGCTGTCATAGAGTTGGCTTGAAATTTATTTTCATGAATGAATTTTTAATTGAATTTAAAGTGGTTCATAATTCATTCTTAGTTTTTGCAGAAAATAAAAAGTAAAGGTAAAAAAAAAGAAAAAAAGGCCGGCCCAAATCGTCCAGCCTTCTTTCTTGTATCCTCCGTCGACCAAAAACCAAAACTGAAAGTTGAAACCACTCGAATTTCATCTCTTTCTCCCGTCGACGACAACAATGGCGGCCGCTTTCTCCATTTCCAGGCTCTCTCTCTCCATCTCCTCTTCCACTGCCGCCTCTCTACTTCCACCCAGAGCCTCCGCCCTCTCTCCCAATCTCTCTTTCGCTGCCCTTCCCCTCAAATCCCCCCGCCCTTTTACCCTAAACCCGCTCCGTTTTTCCTCCTCTTCGACCTCCAAATCCACGATCACCGCCGCCATTGCCGTCGGCGACAAGCTTCCGGAGTCCACGTTTTCGTACTTCGACCCGGCCGGCGAGCTCCAGACCACCACGGTCTCCGACCTAACCAAGGGCAAGAAGGCAGTCTTCTTCGCCGTGCCCGGTGCATTCACCCCGACTTGCTCCCAGAAGCACCTCCCCGGCTTCATGGAGAAGTCGGCCGAGCTTAAGGCCAAAGGAGTCGACACAATCGCTTGCATTTCTGTCAACGACGCCTTCGTGATGAAGGCGTGGAAGGAAAACCTGAATGTTAAGGACGAGGTTCTGCTGTTGTCCGATGGGAACGGGGATTTCACTCGGGCGATCGGTTGCGAGCTTGATTTGAGCGACAAGCCGGTGGGATTGGGCGTGAGGTCGAGGCGTTACGCGCTCTTGGCCGAGGATGGAGTCGTGAAGGTCTTGAATCTGGAGGAAGGAGGTGCGTTTACCTTCAGTAGTGCTGAGGACATCCTCAAAGTTATTTAAATGAGATCAGATGAGACAGGACCATAGCCTTTTTCTTCTTTCTCCTTTCTTTTCGTTTGGACGCTACATTTTTCCTTCTGCTTCTTGTTGGTTCACTCACAGGCTAGCAATTTCAATTTAGGCCAATAAAAGGAATAAAAATGCGTCTCTTAGAAGTAGTTTCTGAGTTCATCTTCATGTTTCTGGATTTTGCGTGTTTTTTTTTTTTGATTTTATTGTTCTGGGTTTTATTCTTCATGTTATGTTATGAGGAAGAATGATTAATCTGGAGCACAAATAATCTGTTCGACAAAATGCCTCAAAGGATCCCACCCCAGGACATGAATTTTCTTTACTAAATATGTCACTGCCTCAGCGAGAAGTACATACCATCTTTTAATTTCATCTCCAAAGTTCTTAGATACTTCAATCAAATCACTTCTTAATTCTATTGAAGTTGCTTAAATCCTGTGATGTCTTATTGAATTTATTTAGCAATGAAAAACTTTTAAGGTATTCGTAGTGAGTTAGCAGCTCAGCATACTTGTAGTTGGGTCAAATTTCCAACATTTTTGTGTTGAAACCCCATGCATAACGAGGGAGGGAGGAATTGGATAAAGAAGGGATGAACAGTTCATTCTTGTCTCTTATCCAAAAAAACAGTTTATTCATGTCAAATAAAACTAAAAACAAAAAACAAAAAGCTTCCACAAGTGGAGGAGCCAAAAAAGAAAAGGAAAAAATTTCAGCTCCACCAGCCTCCATTGTCTTTCTTATTTACATCTTCTGCAATCTCCATTCACTTGCTAAAACAAGCACTAGAATCTACATCATGGTTGGGACACTAAGAGCTGGGAACAATAGTGCCAACATACCCAAACCCCACAATGAAAAATGAAAGTGATTGGACAAAAAGGAAAATGAAGAAGTGGTTTTTCCCATAGAACAAATCATAGTATCCACAGAAGAAGAGATAGGCTCCAATCCCAAGCTCCCAAATATGAATTCTGTCAATACATAAAAACAAAGCTCTGGTTAGATGCAGTAAGTAGTTAAAGGAGAGTTAGAAAGAGAGTTTTATTGGATGCACAAGAGGAGAAAACAGAAGTTGGGGAAGAAGTGAAAAGTACCTCTCTCCAATTACACTGAGCCTTGGCTTTTTGGGTGCTTTTGAGGCTGCTTTGCCCTTGAGAATATCTCCTAATTTCTCGGTGACAACCCATTCATTTGCTCGACTACCCTCTAATAGGCCGATGAGGGTGGCCTTGGCTCTGTGTAAGGACATAACATTTTCGAACATGATCCAGAAAACCGTCAAGTGGAATGACCTGAAACAACCCGGTAAAATCTCAGAAGTTGAAACAACGTTACAAAACATAAATTTGACTTCTAACGTTGGAAGTTTGAGAAGAAACATACTTTGGCGTTCCGATGGCATTAATAATGGTAGTTGCCGTAGGAATATACACAGCCCCCCATTTTGGAATCGAAACTTCAGGCACCATAACAGTTGCGGGCAGAACAACACAGAAGAAAAGAAAGGTGTTGATATGGGCTATGATCTTCCTAACGAAGAAGAAGCTATATATCACATACACCTTCTTCCATAATGTCACTCTCTGCAGTAAGAAATTCCCACATCTTATCATTTTGCCCAAAAGCTTAAAACCTTTTATCAGTCTATTATGAGTTTGTGATACCTTATTTCTTGCAATCTCCAAGACCATTTTCCTGAAAAGATTTGCAGGGCCACACGACCACCTGTGCTGCTGAAAACGGAAGGCCTTGAAAGTGCTTGGCAATTCATTTTTAACCTAATGGTATGAAACAATGTTCCATCAGATGTGAGATTTGAATATCGAATATCTTAAGAAGCGAAAGAGATTGTTAGAACTTTGAAAGATAACCTGAAGATCGCCAAGGTATAAGAATTTCCAGCCCTTGAGACTGGCTCGCACGGCCAAATCCATGTCCTCCACCGTGGTGCGATCCTTCCACCCCCCGGCCTCGTTGATTGCCGCAATTCTCCAAACACCTGCCGTACCTGTTCCAATGTTGAGCAATGATTTTAGAGAATGAGAAACTTTGGAGTGCCGACATGAATATATTGCTCAACTTAGAGTTTGTACGAACCATTGAACCCGAAGAAGGAATAGGTCGAGGACCCGACTTCTTGCTCCACTGTGAAATGGTAGTCCAATGACATCTCTTGTAGTCTTGTCATCATGCATTCGTTGGAGTTCACAAAAATCCAGCGGGCTTGAATGAGGGCGAGTTCTGGGTTATGGACAAGGTAAGGAATAGATCGCTGAAGAAAATCAGATTCTGGTTGAAAGTCGGCATCGAAGATGACGACGTAATCGCACTCTTGGGCATAGCTCCGTTTCATGCCTTCTTTCAGAGCACCGGCTTTGTATCCTGTCCGGTTGTCTCTCACTTCGTACTTTATGTTAATCCCTTTGTTTGCCCATTTTCTGCACTCCATCTCCACCATTTCCTTGATCACTGGATCTGTTGAATCATCCAGCACTTGTATGATGATCCGATCGGCCGGCCATGAAAGCCCACAAGTTGCTCTAATCGACCATTGATAGACCTGAGATTAAGATCAAACAGAGTGTGTGAAAGAGAGGAGAGTTTTCAGAGGGGGGAAAACAGAGCAGGAAAAACAGAGCCAGAGCACCTCTTTTTCGTTAAACATTGGGATTTGAACAAGGACCATGGGATAAGCCGAGCTTCCAAGCTCGGAGTCGTCTTTCATCGCTTCCCATTTGAAGCGCTTCTCCGGCGTCCGGCCGAGTAGCTTCACTAGAATGATCACCACGCCCATGTAGATCCTCTCAACGAACTGCACTATCGACAATGTCGTACAGATCACAATCAGGAAGCGAAGCAGGGGAGCGATCAATGGTGCTCTGATGGCCTCCCAGGCCATATAGAGCTCCACCGTAGAAATGCCATTTCCGGGAAGAAGGGCCACCGCAGCCGAGAGCTGATCCATTGTTGAAATTTCCGGCTCTCTCTGTCGAATTTTGTTTTAGTGATCCGATTGAATCCTGGAGAGCCGGAAATGTGGAATGTTGTGTGTTCCTGGTTTCAAAATAGAAGAAGAAAAAAGGGTGGGGGGAAGAAGTTGGGGGAAAAGGGGTTGTTCTGCTTCTGCCACTGCAGAAGCAGAAGCAGAATTAGAATTGAAATCAGAAGCAGAAGAAGAATGGAGGAGGAAGATGTGAAAGGTGTGAGAGTGAAGATGGAGAGGGAAGGTTTAAATAACAGCAGAAGTTGAAGAGAGAGGAGATTTGTGGTTTGAAAATTTCTGTGTTTGAACTATAATTACTCTGCTAATAGTGGTTCTGAGGCCTCTTGCAATTGTTATTAATAGAATGGTGGGTTTATTTTCCCCAAAAAGCTCTCCTTAATATGACTATATGAGAGAGAGGGAGAAATTTTAGGTAATTTTGAAGCCATTTTAGTTTTCATGTATCAAGGAAAATGATTTTTATTTCAAGTAAAATAGTATTTATAGAATGACCAATATTATGCATAAATATTAAATGAACACTATCTTTCTTAATCTTCACCTAATTCCAGAGTTCTCAACATTCCACAACACCCAATTATACATTCGATACAAACAGATGATAAAAATCAGAATTCCTAATTATTCTCCAAGCCCACGTGGAAGCCGTCCCCCTTAATGTTTAGCTATAGAATCATTTGGTCTAGTTTAAATGGTCACTCCATCTTTTTAAATTTTCTAAACGTGATCGGATGGATAAACATGACGATTTTAAAATATCGTGGAGTTCTTCCCTTTGGTAGCATTACACCAAGATCTTTTCTTCATGTAACGGTGTTCATGCAATGACCCTCCAATAACATTATGAACGTCATGATATTGAAGTTATAACTACATTTAGTGTTAATACCACGGTGTTTATCTTTAACGTCATGATTATGAACGTCATAATCATAAAAAAAAAAAAGAAAAAGAAAAAGAGGGTTGAAAACACGACTTTTTTCTTTTCCTTTTGGGTTTATTGTAAAATATTTCATGAACTATATAATAACAAAAGAAAATATTGGAACCGGGAGAGAGAGAGAAGAGTGAGCAGTGGCATTACAAAATGCAAATACACAAAATACAAATCAAACTCTTTATTTATTATTTATTATATTATTCTTTAGCTCAACGGAAAAAAAAAAAAAAAGAAGTGTCTTAATTAATTCTCAAAAGCAATCAATTCTTGTCTCGAGTTAATGGGCCCAAGAGAGCCCAAATCAATTCTCGTCTCAAGTTAATGGGCCAAATGAGCCCAAATTAGACGCTGAGTTTGAGCCCACGCAAATGGATTAACAACCTTTAAAAGGTCTTAAGAGACACGTTAATTCAGACAAAGGAAGATGAAATAATGTTGAAAACTTTAAACCATTTGAATATCTACAACAGCTCCCGATTATAAAGCGAGCACTGTGACCCTTTTTCTCGAAATAAAAAGAAAAAAAAAGTGATTTATTTTATCATATTTTCAAATTTTACTTTCTTTGCTCTTTTTTTTTTAACAAAAGTAAAAATGGAAAACCCTAAACACACAGCTAAATGCAAATTACAGAAACTCAAATAAAAGAGGGTTTCATTTCATATTCATTGCAATTGAAGCTGAGGATCGATCTCCACTCTCGAAACCCCCTCTCTCGCCGCCGCAGCCTTCGGCACCTCCACCTCTCCGATCACCGCCTCCTCATCGACGAAGTTCGGATCCTTCTCGTCGATCGCGGCCGGCGTCGGCGACAACTGGTTCTCTATGGCACCACCGGGGCCCTCCCAAGTGTACTTCCCTCCGCGGCCAGATTTCGGCGGCGGTTGGCCGATTCCGCTCCGGCCGTCGGCGGGATGCCGATCCAGGCGCTGAACTCCCTTATCGATCAGCTTCTTCTCCACGTATTTGACGGTGTCGATGCTGTGAGTGTGGAGGTCCGTCTTCTCCACTCTCTTCTTCCCCTCCTCGTCGCGGCTCTCCGCTCGAATCGTTACCTTCTCCTTCCTGCTGTCGTCGGTCGGCTTCATGTTTCTGCACACGGAAATTGGAATCGGAGAATCGGAGAATTTGAACTGAAATCTGAGGTTTGTTTCGCCGGAATTTATGGTGAGTAAGGGGAACGGAGGTCTAGGGCCTAAATAGGGGTATTTTGTGAACTGGAAGATACTGGAAGGGCATGGCAGCGGTGGTGCTAGAACTTTCTGACACCTCTTCATCCACGTTTTCTTTTGGCATGCATTATCAATTCTAATATCTTTTTTTATATTTTCTTCAAATTTCTAATTTTGATAATTTCAAAATATTTTATTATTATTGTTTTTTTTTTAATTTGAACTTCGACCGCTAGGAAGGTAAGAAATATTTTGACCATTGAATCATGTGTTTACTATTATTTTGTTACGTTAAATGACTTATGTTATACTATATATATATATATATATATATATATATATATCTAAATCATTATATTACCATACACGCTTGAAGTCATGAATTAAATTGGACATTTTGAAAATTTAGTGATCAAAATAGAACAAATCTAAAGGTGTGTTTCATCATAATAATGATCAATTTTGCAAAGTTCGGACCTAGATGAGATCGATGAACCCAAGAACTTGTATAGAGAGAGTAAAAAACCCTAATGCTCAAGTCAGTTTTGGTTCGATCTATTGTTCGAGAGAGAATAGTTTTGGGTATTTGAAAAATAAAGTGCAACTTGAAGAGCAATTATCGTCCTGTAATTTACGACGTGTTGTTGAAAAAAGGGTTGAGTGGTTTTGTAGTACAGCTCATTCTTGACTGAGCTATAATTTGAGCTGAAGTGTTCCGTGGTCGAGCTATAAATCAAGATCGAGGTATTCTATGGCCGAACTATCTTTTAAGGTCGAGGCATGGCTTAAAATGAGTTCTCATACAGTTTTCAAGGTGGAAATAGAGTTGAAATTTAGGTTGTTACAAAATATATATATATATATATATATATATATATATATTGTAGTTATTTAGTCTCTATATCTAAATTTATTTAGGGTGCAGGTTTTTTGTTTTGTTTTGTTTTTTTCGAGTACAACCAGAACAACTAAAATTAAGAAATAGAAGTAGAGTGTTTAATGTGTGAAATTTCTGAAGGCCAGTAGAATATTTGTATGCCAATATTTAATTACATCTAAAATAATATCCACTAAATATTTAATTACATCTAAAATAATATTAACTGATTTATTTTTATATATATATATATATATATATTATATTTTACGGTTTTAGTTTTAAAAAAAATGAGATGAGTTTATAACATGATGTAATATAGGATAGTTTTAATCTTTTTCAATGTAATTCTACATTTTTAAGTTTCAAATTCATAATTTGAAAACCTTGAATTTTTAGAATTTCCACTGTTCGGAAAACAATTTTTGAAAACATCTGTCAAACACCTAGTCAGTGAATTTAGTTTCAAAATTTCAAATTTAGTTCATCAACTCTCGACCAGTCTTAAAAATAGTTTCTATCATCAGTTTGGGGTTACTTTCGAAAAAGGAAAAAAAAAATAGTCCCTGTAGGCCTCCCCTCTAACTATCAAATGATATATACCCAATGTATGAACAGATACTATGTACAAAGTTTATTAAAAGTAGTTGAACTAAATTTAGACATTTGAAAGTAAAGTAAATCTCAAATCTTAAGGGCCAAAATGATATTTCAAATTGTTTTTGTTATTTTTTATTTAAATTACAAGTTTAGTCTCTGAACTTTGTAAGTCTGTATCTAATAGATCTCTAGGCTTGATTTTTAAACTTTGAAATCATCTAATAAATCCTTGAACTTTCAAATTTGTATCTAATAAGTTATTGACATATTCAAACATTTTCAAAATTAACCAATTGATTAGACATAATATTGAATTTTGTATCTAGATTTGTGAATTAAAAAAAGGATGGCCGAATAAATGTTAGAGAAACTATTAGATACTCTTAAAAGTACACAAAAACTTGAAAGCCGAGTAACCCTAAGATGCATACCAATGTCGTTTTTAGTCTTCTACTTAAAAAAAATTAGGCTTGTTTTTGTGAAATTTCATTACCTTTGATGAAAATATATTTGAATTAATACCCAAATTGCAAAAACAGAAACAATTTTTTTAGAACTTTTTGGCAAGTGTGAAGGGTCACAAGACAAGAAGTCATAAAGGAGGAAGAATATGCTTCCCTCTTCCAACATCATTGTTCATAGCAAACAACGAAAATGAATCAAATTTCAAAACCCATTGGATTCGGAAACGATGGAATTTCCAAAGCTCATTCTCTCTCCGATCTGTCGTTTCTGGTTTTTGGCTTTTGGCTTTTACCAGTTTCGTCCTTCTCATCTCGAGCCGTCGCGTTCATTTTGAGGTCAATTTTCCTCAAATCTCATATATTTATTTGCAGAACTAATTCGAAACCCATCGGCCGGAAAATATGGCAAAGGAGTGGAGAAAAACCAGAAGTTCAAGTTTCCGGTGGATTCCCCTGAAGATTGTGCCGCCGGAGCCGGAATCGGCGGGGATCGGTTTCTTGGCGTTCGAAATCTCAGTTCTAATGTCAAAGCTTGTTCAACTATGGAATCAATTAGAAGATACCGAATTCACGAGAGTGAAAGAACAAATCTCAAATTCAACAGGAATCAAAAAGCTAATCTCAGACGACGATCGATTTCTAACGGAACTTTTCCTCAATGAAATCGTCCGAGATCTTCAATACGTCGCGAGATCGATCGCGAGATTCGCGACCAAATGTTCAGATCCTGTTCTTCACGAATTCGAGAAATTCGTTAGGGATCCGGTGAAGAACCATTTCGATTGGTTCGGATGGCAATACAGATGGAAGAAAATGGAGAGAAGAGTGAAGAAAATGGAGAGATTCGTTGCGTTAACGGCGGAGCTGTCGCGGGAGATGGAAATTCTGGCGGAGGTTGAACGGAATATCAAGAGAACAACCGCCATTTTCGCCTTCGGCGGCGGCGGGGGGGAATCTTTTAAGTTCAGGAAGAAAGTGAAGTGGCACCGCCGCCATGTGCAGAGCTTGAAATTGGTGACGCCGTGGAACAGAGGATTCGATTATATTCTCAGACTTTTTATGAGATCGATCATCACTGTTGTGGAGAGAATCAAAATTGTGTTTGGGGTTAAGGAAATTCGCCGGCCGCCGTCTGTGGAGAGTGAGAAATCCGCCGCCGGCCACCGGCTTGCTTCCGGAGAATTTAACGAAATGATGTTTGGTTTGAAGAATTTCTTGAGGCTGCCTTCGGAGCCGCCATTAATGAAGCTTGCAGATGTTAAATCCTCAGTAATATCAGGTAAATTTGATCTTTTATGAAGGAATATGTTAAAATTATATACATTCGAAAATGTTAAAATAATTAATGATCAGTTTAATTACTTGCATGAAGAAATTTAGAGAATAAATTAAGTTGGAAAAATTTTATAATTTTCCTCCAAAAACTTTAAAGAGTTAGACATAGATTTCTGTTTTAATGCGCTTAAAATTTTTTCTTTATGCCAATTTCAACTAATATTATGTCGTATAAATTTATTATTTAAATAATTTTGACATAGAAATGTATATATAATTGAAAATGTCATAAGTAGAAAAGAATTCAATCCTATCTTTTTTTTTCCCTATTAAATCAGTCAATTAAATTAATTATTTTCTTAATTTTTCCTTATTAAATTAATTATTGTTTTTGAAAACCCCTAATTAATTTTGGTAATCCAGAGAAGTTTTAAAAAATAAAGAATTAAGATAAAATGATGTTGTTTACTTTGTTTTGATGTTTGCATTAATTTGATTTCTTTTTTAACTTTCAACTAAATTTTTTATTATTTTAATATAAAACTATTTTAGAGACTGGTATTAATATAAATCATATATATTAGCCAAAAATTTATGCTAATATATCAAATGTAATTTTTTTTTTTAAAAAAGAACAATTTTAATTTTTTTTTTATTATTCAATACTTCCTCCTTTTAATGGCAGAGGGCAAAAAGGTCGGCCAATTCACACACTTCAGATCATTTAAAGACTGCAAGGGCGGCGGAATCGATTCTCCGCCACACGACGGCCGGCGAATACGTAAAACGACGTCGTTGAATCTGAAAAACAGAGTGGAAAACAGAGCATCCTCACCCTCACGAATCAACGGCGGCAATTATTCAATTTCATCATTCTTCTCCACAGAAAACTTATCAACCCCACCTCCGTCCTCCCTTGCCGGCGCCGGATTATCCATTCACTATGCCAAAATCGTGATTCTAATCGAGAAATCAGCGTCGGCGCCACACCTGATCGGCGCCGACGACAGGGACGAGCTCTTCAACATGTTGCCGGCAACGATTAGAACGGCTCTCAGATCGCGGCTCCGATCGGCGGCGAAAGTCCGGCCCCCGTCGCTGTACGATCCGGTCGTTGCGGCGGAGTGGAAATCGGCGGTGGCAAAAATTTTGCAGTGGCTGGCTCCGATGGCGCATGATACGGAGACGTGGGATTCGGAGCAGAGCTTCGAGAAGCCTCTCGCCGGCGCCGGCGCCGGCGAATCAAGATCGCACGTGCTGCTGCTGCAGACCCTTCATTATGCAGATAGGGAGAAGACGGAGGGCGCCATTGTTGAGCTGTTAGTGGCTTTGAGCAATATTTGCAGTTCAAGTGAAGTTTGTGAGGAGATTTTCGAATCCACTTGGAGCTGAAGCTCGCCGGAGTTATTTCTGTGGGAATGATGAGTTTTCCGATTCTAAAGTTTATGCTTTATGATTCGGACTTTTATGAATCCTAGAAGATGGGGGATTATGGAATTTAATAAGAGTTAATTAGCATGTAGCTTAATAAATAGATTTCAAAAGGTTTAGTATGGATTTAGGACTTGATTTCGAGATAAAAAAATTTAAAATTAAAATTAATTGAGTCTTGAACTTTTGACGTAGTCTAAAAATAGATCCATTTAATGGGCTTAACTAATTTCCCCAAGCCCAACAAAGTGGAACCCAACCCAAGACGCAACCAATACCTTATACAAGCCACAATGCATCACTTCATAGTTCATAGTAGTAAAACTAAAATAATGCAAAATATCTCTAAATTACTGAAAATATGAAATTATATATTAACTAAAGTGATTTAAAACTTGTCGGATGTTATGGATACAAATCTTATACATGATTTCCACGATAAATATGGAAATGAAATTGAAGATTCGACTTCTAGAGAAGAAAGAAGATATCTTAACTGTTGAACTACTAATATTATTTTATTGATGATTTAGGTAATAGAAAATAAATAAATACCTATTATTTCACTGAATAAACATTGTATTAAAAAGTTTAACATTGAAAGCAAAAAGTTTACATTTTCCTTTTTATCTTCTATTAATACAAAAGGGAAAGTTACAACTTACAATTTAGTTTTATTTCACTAGAAACGACGTCGTTTAGGAGGTACTGGAACGGCCACAAGAGGAACCGCCTTTCTAAGAGTAATCCCCATTTGCTCCGACATGTCCATCTCCTCCGGCGTAGCTCCGTCCGGCAGAGCCCAATCAAACGCCAAAATCAACGAGCCCAAAGCCATCGGAAGCACCCGCGCCGCCAGCGGCACCGCCGGGCACATGCGGCGGCCGGAGCCGAACGGAAGAAAGTCATAATGCTGGCCTTT